TCATCAGCTATTTTGGAACTAGATGGCGGTGAAGGAAAACATTATAATGAAACCTATCGGTTTGAAGGACATCAGTGGTTAATGGTAGACAAGCAAGAAGGGGTGTATGCCGGAGGAAAGGCTGAATACACTGGTGTTCGAACATTTGAAGTTTATGGTGACTTCCAAAAAGGTATAATAAATAATTATAATATTTCATTAATTCATTTGATTAATTTTATAATATTTATTATTAAAGGATGTTTGGATGATATACGTTTGGAAGGAAGATATTTGCCACTACCACCGGCCACAAATGGAACACAATGGGGTCAGGCAACTATGGCCAGGAATGTAGAGAGAAATTGCCCATCCAATAAACCGTGTGCCAATGTCATATGTCAAGAACCGTTTGAATGCGTTGACCTGTGGAACTATTACGATTGCACGTTAGTCAATCGATGAATGTGTAACTTAAGAAACAAAACCAAAACAAAAATCTTTTTTATTTTCTAGTTGTGGTGAAGGTCGTACTATGACTCAAGACCGTAAGGGATGTGTGGATAAAAACGAATGCTTAGACAGCCCATGCCGAAATGGAGGTGTTTGCTTAAACCAAGATCCCAAGATCCGATATCGTTGTATTTGCCCTGATGGCTTTTGGGGTGAAAACTGTGAACTGGTCCAAGAAGGACAAAAATTAAAACTTGGAATGGGTGCACTCGCGGCTATATTAGTTTGCCTCCTAATCATTCTCAGTATGTATTGCAATCTATTGTACCTCGCACATTATACAAAACAAATTAATATTAAATTTATTTACAGTATTGATTTTGATGTTTGTCGTGTATAATCGTCGACGGGAGGCCCACATTAAATATCCCGGACCAGATGATGATGTTAGAGAAAATATTATCAACTACGATGACGAAGGTGGTGGCGAAGATGATATGACAGCGTTTGATATAACTCCGTTACAAATACCTATTGGAGGATCAATTAACAATATGCATCCCCAGAAATATAAATGTAAGTTATTTTTTTTTTGACAGTATTAACAGTTACAATAATATTATAACTTGACACAATTTAGATCCCCCAATGCCGATTGGCGTGGAACCTAATGTTGGCATATTTATTGAAGACCACAAGAAACGAGCTGATGGCGATCCAAACGCTCCGCCATTCGACGATTTACGTAACTATGCTTATGAAGGAGGTGGAAGCACTGCTGGTTCATTATCATCATTAAACACAGGTATATTTTTAATTTTAATGAATTTTAATAAATTGGTCAATATAACTAAAAAAAAAAAATTATACATAGACACAATACAGTGTAATAATTTCTATTATAATGGAAAATTTAACCAAAAAATTAAATATATTAATTTTAAACTAAACATCAAGATAGTTTTATAGTGGTTTTATTTATAAATTTTTGTATTTATAATAACATTTATTTTTGTATTTTTAGGTACAGAGGACGACCACCAAGATTACGAATATTTGGTGTCATGGGGATCACATTTTGACAAGTTGGCTGATATGTACAGCCGAGATGGTGAACATGAAATGGACGAAGAACAATAAAGAATAAAATACTTTTAGTCTACTAATATTATAATATATTATGTGCTACACTTAAATATATTATTATATATATATAGGGACTACTACAATTGAACTGATAATCTAGTCATGATTATATTATTATTTTAACCCCACTATATTAGAGGATCTCAACCCCATTTTGCTGCCATGTATGCTTATAATACTGATATTCTTTTAATTAATCTGTTTATTTTTAATTTTCAATACCTTCACTACAGGATAGAGGACTTGTCTTAACTTTTTTTTTAAATTTTTTACAAACTTTTTTTACTATCATCATCATTATTATCATTATTATTATTATTTCTTTCATTTTTCGTAAAATTAATTTTTGTATACTTCAGAAGCCAGTTATTATTTTTTATTTAATTTTACCCAAAACGTTTTTACTTACTATATTTTATTTAATAAAATTGAAGAAAGACATTGCGTACGTCAAATTATTGCCATTAGGTACTGTATGCAGGGCAAACGCTACTTTTTTTATTGTATGCTCAATTTCTGTTTAGATTACACACTATAAACTTTATAGTTATATAACAATATATATTATATAAATGTGACACTGAATTATTTTTTAATCGAGTGAATCAACATCTGTGTAACATAATATTATATTATTAAATACAATAATAACAATGAGTATAATAACATATATGATATTATAATTTGACAAATTAAATTAATTTTCTTTTTGTTCAATGGAATAATAATATTATAATATTAAAATCTCTTCGTACATATCTCTCGATAAAAATGTTTTTCTATATTAAATAAATAATTACAAAATATTACTATTACTATTATATTATAAATGATATAATAATTGTGTCATATATTTAAAATCATATTAGTTCACTCTAGGTTAAACAGATAGGTAACTACATACTTATCACCTTTCTTTTTTTTTTTTTTATCCAGCACTCGATAGACATTTTATAAGAAATGCAATTATGTACAATATCACAATATGATATTTTATTCATCACTATATTTCCTGTATTTGTTATAAACTTAAATATTATTATTATTGATTTATTTATGTATAAATGTTTATTACGAAAAAAACATATAGAATATATAGTTGATATAGACATCTTTTCCTAGTTTATAAAAACCTGAAGTTCCAATTTTATAAAAAAAAAAATAAAAATATATAAATATAATATTAATTTTAATAAGTTTATGATTAGTTTTATTTATACATTTTAGAGTATATACTTAGATAATATTATTATAATAAAATATGATAATTTATAGTATTCGTTTAAGATCATTGTATACTTTTTTTTTCTTATTATATTTTATATTAATATTAAGCAGTTTATTATATAATATTATTCAAGGCGTATAGACTGACCATTGTTTATAGAATATAAAATAGTTGCTGTACTGTAATTTATGACTTCGGTCTGTTCACATTAAACATTTTATATTATATGTACTTATATTTTATAGGCAAATTTTAAATGTAGTGTGTTAGTGTTGTGTCTCGCACTATCAAAATAATGATCAAATTACAATATTTAACGCCACACCAAAATATAACGTACTTATAAATCCTAACTTAAGTTAAATTATCATAAGTTAAAAATTGTTGTAAAAAAATAATAATAAGTATATGGATGGTACAACTATCATCATATTATTATTATTTTGTACTTTGCATTTAGGTAAGACAATTGTTATAATATAAGTACCTACACATACTTGTTTATAAAATACAACCTTATAAACAATAATTGTTTAGTCTTTGATAATCAAAAGAAAAAAAAAAACCTATAGTATTATAATTAATAATTGGCATACATTCCACAAAAAAAAAAAAGTAAAAACTGAAATAATAATAATAATTTTGTACTCATTAAGAAAAAACACCTAATTATATGAAAATTTCCACACAAATAAATAGGTAATTATTATAATATTATTCACAGTCTGTACCAATTATACTAGTGTTATAATAAAAGTGCTGACATGCAAAAATATTAATTTAATCAACCTACATACCTCATCACTCATCAGTGTGTACAGGTAGTATTGATTGTGCGATTTTATTCGTATTTTTTGTTAATAATCTCACTTTTAATATTATATATTATGTATATTATAAGTCATGGAATTTTAATTTTTTTTTAATTTGGGAATACATGCCTACTAACATTTTTTCAAATAATTTTTGTATACTTTAATATTAAAATATATATCCGAACATGTCTGTGAATGTAAAATCAGACTTTTATACACACAAAAAGAAAATTACATTACAAATTTAATACATATACATATTATTTCATGTGTTTATACTATATTAAGTTGTGTAGTTATTATTGTGACTTAGTATTTTCGTTTTATAACATTAAGGATTATTATTATTATTATTATTATTATTAAGTGAACCGCACCACCCTCACATATACCTTTTTCAGATTATGGTTATTTTTTAATTTCGTGAAAATTTTATTTTTGCGTGATACGAGTACCTGTAATTTTGTATTTACATTTCTTTTTTTTCTACAACCAAATTACACTTTACTAACAAAGAAATAATATTTTTAGCTGAAAGGGGTCATGTCATAATTACATTTATACACACAACACCCTGGACCTCTGTTTTTTTAAAAAAATCTAACTATTCCCACATAATATTATTAGGTCGCTTTTACTTATATTTCTTTTCTTTTTATAATTATTTACGCCAAACTTAACCCTTGTATAATAATATAGACTTAATTTTCTATACCGACAGAAATTTTGTTGGCTTTAATCATAAAGGATTAAATCAGAAACATTAACAACATTCTAATTTCCTGATTTCCCCATTATCAGTTTGCTATAATCCTCAACAGTTATTAATTCATTATTATATTGATTATTTCTAGTCACCTGTCGTACCATTTTTGTATATCAACCGTATGTATGTATAATATACAAAAATATATTATATATTATTATGTGTATTTTTTTTTTTTTATGTGTAACTATATTATTAAAACATTTTATTATATAATATTATTAAACATAATAATTTAAGTGAATTTATACATTAAGTTAGTAGTAATTACAAAATATACTTAATATTATAATATGAAATAAAATGGCATTAGAAAAAAACAAACAATATTATTTGTTCAATGAAACACTGGAAATTATTCAATGTGTTGTTTGATGTTTATAACATATTATTGTAAAATCATAATATTGATGATAAATTATTTAGGTTAATAAACATTTATAAGCATAATATTATATCACTTATTAGTTTATTGATTGTTGTTTGTTCTCTATATTTTTCCAAGACCAAGTACTTTTATAATACATATTATAATATTCTCAAAAAAATCGGTCATATTATTAACCATTTTTAATTTATTTTGTGCAATTTTGTTTATATTTAAACTAATTCACATTATATCTATTAAGGTTCAGTATATAATAACACTGTAGATACATCATAAATTACTGTTTAGGTCGAGTTTACTACCTAGGTGTATCATAATCCAATAATAACTGCAAAATAGAGAAACAGACAAACTCTTTTGTACTATTTAAACTTTTGTATTTATGTTAACTATTAGATTAATATTTTATATTCTAGTGGACAACTATTTATACTATTTATAATAGCTAGAGAAAAACCAATTTCTGATATGTGGAGTAAATCGTGAGGCGTAATTTTAACTCGCATAAAAATATACTTGACACTAAAATGATGCATATTGTTTAAATATATAAAGTATTAAGTATATAGATATCAAGGCTATATAGATGATACGGTAAATAGGCCAAATATTTTGGGGACAGTTTAACACCCCTAATATTGATTATGTATACTTAGTATTTACTTGATAAGTACTTGAAATGATGAGATTGACCGATTTTTGATGAAACCTAAGAACACTCTTCTATTTGTGCCTGCCTAGCCTATAGACTTACACTAAAAATAATGAAAGGATCGAGCCATAACTCATTTACACGGTTTGATTACACTAAAAATACTATATTATAAGCTCATTATGAAATAATAGTTATTTTTAAAATTTTGAACAAGCTATTGACATTAATAATGAATATAATCAACCGAAAAACTGTACCTATTGTGGAAATCCATATTTTGTTATTAGAATATTACTATAAAGTGAATCTCTAATACTTCATATTACAATACCTACTTGTATTCTATATTTCTATTTGCTAGGCACATAAATAAATCTAAAACTTTCACTTTAATACCATAGCGTTTCAATTTATCATTAAAACTTTAGTAAACAGAACCAACAACTTGTAGATGAAAATATATTCCAAGCATTATCCAAATGTATGTATTAGTATGATACAAGAGTACTTAAGGACAGCCAGTTTATTGAAAAATGGGAGATCGGATCATGTGAATGTTAAGGACGAGGTTGGCATATACCAAATAACTGGGATGAATGCGAAGGTGAAGAAACAAAAGAAAAGCTCCAAATTAGTATGCACTGAATAAAAGAGGTGAATTAAAGCATTTGTGGTGGACATACCCGACCTAAATCAAAATTCATTACTTAAAAAATTTGTAAGTATGTATGAAGTATGTTAAATCTAAAATGCATAGTAAAAATTACTTACAGTCAATAAATATTAAAACTGATACAGTATTAATTAATAATTATTATCATTTATCATGATTATATTTTTGTTGCGTATTGTATAAAATGAAATGTGTTTAGTAATAATAATTATTATAATATTCTGTAGTTATGTATTTATAGACTGTAGTTATATTATATCATCACCCAGAGAGCGCTGTAATATCTATGAAATCTCGTTTTGACCTTATATTTTTACGGACTGTTTCGGTAACTATTAAAATATATAGATGAGCAATGTTTTGGCAAAGTATTTTGGCCGATTAAAATATGGCCGCCACTTCTAGCGCTGCGGTCGTTTCTCACAAAAATCAATGTTTATAGCGGAAGATGCTGAGGGGAAATACGCATTATTTGACCGCTTGCAGCGCTCTTTCGGAACTTAAAAACTTTTGTCGTTCTATTATATTTTTTGAAACACACAAATGTCGTGTTGGGTGAGGCACTTAGAGAACATATAAAATCACAGAAATCTTATTAATTTTAATTTAAATGCAATTTCCAAGGCCCTCACCACGTCAAAAATAACTGATACCTAAGCAAAAATAGATTAAACATGTGTCTGTATTAGTAGTAAGGCTCGCACCTTAGTTAGCCTAGGTGCGAATATCCTATATACGGCTCTGGCCATAATATTTTGTTTTGTAAAATTACCGACGTATTATAGCTCTTGATTACCAGTTATTACAAATTTGCAACGGCACCTGAATTCACTTTAATTTGTATTTTTAATTGCGAAGATTTCGTCGTAAAGTAAAAGATGAAAAAACTAAAATATAATTTACGTGTACACGCTTACGATCGCTTTCGCCGAGAACTGAACTACTGAAGTGGCGCGTTTATAGCTAAAACTAGTTTAGGCATATAGGTATTTTAAAATTTCTCAGTTAAAACCTGGAACTCGTTTGCGCACATGATATTATAGAAGGAACCCACTAGATGATGCGTGACTAGAGACTTATTTAGAAATGGGGGGAGGAGCTACACAAAAAAAAAAAAAAAAAACAAATAATTCATCATACAAATAAATTTGAAAAAAAAGAACAAATAAATAATTGACAATTTAAAAGTTTTTTTACATTTATTTATGTTCAATGTATCAAAAAAAATCCGTTACACTGTACCTATTACTGTAATACGCTCAGAAATGAAAAAATCATTGGCGTAGGTACGCCAATGTTTAGGGCTGCCGGTAACAATGTTATAATATTATCTTAATCTCAAATAATATTAGGTAGGTACGTTAATGTCGCAACAGCCAACCCCCCATACAGCAATAGCGAAACGTTACAATTTGTTCCACGAGACATTTGTACCAATAAACATTTGTTCCAAAAAATGTTTATCGTGACACATTTGTACATCTTGACAATACCATTAGTTTACACACTAAAAATCATGACGATTGTGTACAAATTATACAGTTATGTAAAATATTCCGCAAGGTTATACTCATCTGTAGTTACTATAATATTTATTAAAATATATACATTGGTACGGGCGCACGGCCAAAGGGGGGGAGGGCGCAGGCCTCTTGTGCCCTCCCACCATATAAATACGTCACTGCGCACGACGTGTTATAGAAACAACCACTCGATTGTGCACACAATATTAAAAAATTAAACACAATATTCAACACTATAATAATATGGCTATATGTTTACACGTAGCTGCAATTACATATTATTTTAAACCTACACACATGCGGACAATGTAATATCGCGGACAGTAAAGGGTTTAATATTTATGATTAAAATTTTACTCCAATTCAAATCAATTGAAAAAATAACGCGGGTAACTGTCGCCGAAAAGAAATATTACAAACAAATGATCAACCTACACGAACACGAATAACCGTTTTCCAGGTTTCAAAATGAAATAAAAATAAACGAAAAATCATTATTATCTAATTATTAGGTAATCGTTTTTTAGACGCAGACAAATGTGTGTTTAAAACGTTTGTTTAGATTAACAATTTTAAAATTTTAAATTGCAGAAAATTAAAATGTTAGGATTTTTTATTTTTGTGTGTCCACCGATAAAAATGTAAATCAATGGTCACGTATTTACTAATATTTAAAACCGAAGATAATTACAGTGAATATTCTGAGAACAAAGTATATAAAAATCATATAATCCGAACATAGGCGCAACTAGATCACAAACTTAGGGTTTAATAACTGTTCCATTTGTACTAATTTTGTTTTTTTTTATTGTAATTTAGTTAAAAATATTCGTAGAGACTTGATATTTTGACAGAAAACTTATATTTAGGTTTTCTAAATGGTAAAAACCGTAGTTTTTAATGAGTAGGTAGGTACTGTGTAGTTAAAAAAAAAAAAATAATAATAATAGAGTGGAATGTAGTAATTTTTTTTTTATAATGGTTTTAAGGTTACATTTTGTTGAACAATGGTAAATAAACCATCAAGTTTTCAAATAAACTAACTTTACTCAGAATCGTTTTTCGTTAGCAATGGTTCATCATTTTACAGATATAAATTAAATAACTTTATGTATCCTATTGGTACCTTATACCCATAGGTAATGAATAATACCTTCCTTACATAATCGTGATGCATCGATCGGCAATATTATTAGCTTTTTTTATTTTCCATTTGTGTGAAAAAAAAAGGTTTAGGAGGTTCCCAAACCTGGGGGAAAATCACCCAAAAGTTATATTGAAATATATCAATTGAATTGGTAAAAAAAAAATTGTAAAAAAATGCAAAAAATTCTACAGGTTCCACCGAGATTTGAACTCGGATCGCTGGATTCAAAGTCCAGAGTGCTAACCATTACACCATGGAACCGTTATATCGGTGAATAGTGAAAATTACCTATTAAACCTATCAACTATATAAGTAAAACTGATAAAAACGATAGGTATTAAATTAATCATATTTACATACATAAATAATAACAATTAATGTATAAATATATATATGTATATAATAAATACATGAGAAATGTAAATATTTCTGAATTTGACATACAATTTTGGTAATAAAAAGCCGAATATGTAAACTTATTTTAAACTGCTCGACTAGTAAATGACCAGACTCAAATTAAGTATATCCATACGGACTAATACATATTTAGATAACCTGTCAATATTTATCGAGATACGATAAAATATAATTACCTAAATATTCACCTAGTGTAGTTTACAATATCCAGCCGCGAATGAAAATAATAATACAATGTTTTATAGACAGCTAGTAGGGTGATACCTACATACACTTTCGTTATGACGTGAATTATATTTGATTCGCACGCGATATCATATTATATTCTCTAAATATCTGAATGTTATTATAATATTATTTTACACGAGTGTTGATATTATTATTGTCATGTTTGAATACGTTTACTAGGTATAAGGTAGGACGGATATGCCCGTCTACTCGGCGAATTATGTTACGCGGTCGCCGGTCGCCGCACGTTGGGAGGAAACAGACTTACCGCGACGAAATAAATTTGATGTATTAATGGTAAACAAATATTTTTCTCCAAAACAGGCTTGCTCAGTGCGGCCTGTTATGCACTTTATCATGATATTAAATGTATGACATATTTTGTTTTGAACGAATAATAATAATGATCATATTTAGGGAATAATGATTTTTTTTGTTTTATAAAGTCAAAGTAAAACCTGCAAATAAATAATTAACATTTGTTTAATATAATTATACGAAAATAAACGACAATTTTAAATGCACGGTTTGAATTATTCGAAATTGTTGAGCACATTGAACAAATCACGGTTTAAAAATTATAATATTGTATCTATGATAAAAAAAAAAAAAAAAATAATATGAATAAAATGGTCAACTTTGGGCAGACCATATTTCAGAATTTACTAAATAGTATGTTAAATTAAAACATTTCAATGCAAATCAGAAGTCTAATATATGTTTTTTTTTTCTGAGATAATTTTAAATATTAAATAAAAAAAATGTTTGCATTATTTCGTTAGTAAAGTTTTTACAATGTTTTGATGCAAAAATTCAACAATATAGTATTCTATAACAAAAATGACA